CTGTTTAAAGCTGTGCCGGGACCTTGGATCTCATTGCTATCTGGGGAGAAGTGTTGGTGCAGAAAGCTCTTGTGATCAGCCACCTGAATAAAAACCTTTTTATGGACATTGCCAAGCAAATTTCTGAGAGGGGCCATGACTGGGATGCCAACCAATGCCAGATAACGATCAAGCAACTTGGGAGTAAGTACATTGAAAGGGGGGACAAAAGGATACAATTTGGCAAGGGGCATGAGACCTGTCCATTTTATGATGAGCTTGCAGGATCCTACACAATTATAGCACAACCTGTCCAAGACACCATGTGGAGCCTGCTGGCCACACTTTCCTGCCCACTACGGACAACCAGCAAGGCCTACTGTAGGATGAGTGGGAAAGGATGCCAGAGAGGAGCTGTGCCCTGATAGACAATGAGGACCCTGACACTGGTCAGTTGGAAATCCAGCCGCAATAATACCCTGCTGCAAAGTACCCCAATTCTCGCCTTGCATTGGCTGAGGTTAGGTCCCAGACAGAAACCCAGTCCAGAACTGAAGACGCAGATTCTCTGGAGGGAACTTTGGAAGGGAAGTACCTATCCTTCCAATTTTTTTATTATTATTGTGTTATATTGTCTTTCTACATTCTATTCTGGGTGCCCCATGGAGGTAGCCATTTCAGATGAACGTGAGCTAGGAGTCCTTCCAAATATCCAGCCCTTGTGCCCTCTTTGCCTCCATCGGCCCACACTCTTTGGCACACCCCCACCAATGTTTCCAAAATGGTGGCTGTTCCACATGAGTGACTGGCCTCTGTCTCATGCTAAAGCCATGAGACTAGTGACAGTTTTCAAGACTGTGGCATAGAAGGTGCTTTCCCATTCCCTTATTTTTCCTGCCCAGCAAATGCCCTTCCTGCCCTATAATAATATACGAGATATACCTATCTCAGAGAACTGGAAGGGACCCTGACAGGTCATCGAGTCCACCCCCTGCCTTCACTATCAGGACCAAGTACTGATTTTGCCCCAGAGCCCGAAGTGGTCCCCTCAAGGATTGAACTCACAACCCTTGGTTTAGCAGGCCAATGTTCAAACCACTGAGCTATCCCTCCCTATTCGCCTGCCTGAAATGGCAGCAGGCAGCATAGCGCAGCTCCAGCCTCTGCCCGACCCTCCCTCCTGCAGCACATTCAAATAATGAAAAAATAATTTGTGCGAAGTGCAACAGTTTATTAAGACAATATTTAGAGGGAAAGAAGTTTGATTGTGTTCATAGTTTACATGGACATCACATGCCTGGTAAAGGTGCAAACAGAACTCTTCCCTTATGAGATTTAAATGTCCTGTAATGTACATTCTAGTTGACAATCATTGCAGGACTCTATCTATTTTTCTTTGCACTTTATGTCTGCATCGGAGATAAAGCAGAACTTAAGACTGAGAAACTGCTCAATTTTGGTTCACACATTATAGGGAATTCACTGCATGCTCATTTCCCCAATATAGTTCACAAGCCCCTTCCACTCTTGCAGCACTTCTGGGATGACCATCCTGGTGAGCAACTTCAATGTATATCTTTCTGGTTTGCCCTTTGGCTTTTTGAATAAGACTATTCTCTGCTTTCTAGTCTCCCGCCTCTGTGTAATAGCATCAAGAGTCAGGGCAACCTAAAGCGGAGGCAGAGGAGATTACTATTTGGCTTGGCACCCCGATGCCCTCCATAACCCCTCCAAACCCAGAGATGCAACTCAAATGCACAAACAAAACTGGAGCACAATTCCACTCCCCTACCCCCAACCCCCATGCCACTAAGGCACAGTAGCAAATTGCATATGCAGCAGACAGTAAAGTCACATACACATACTTAAAAAAAAAAAAAACTGTCTGGAATATGGACTGTCTGGAATATGAACAATAAGTGACTGTTTCCCCCCACACACACTACCACAGCACCTGCAATAGCCAGACCATCAAGGACAGGGCCTCTATCTACTGTTGAGAGGCTGGCCCACCTGAGGGGCAAAAAAGAGACTCAGGAAGAGATGTTTGGTCAACTCATAGCAAAGTCCCAGAGAAAAAACGCATTGACTGAGAGGTGGAGGCAGTAACATGATGAAGCAGAAAGAGAAAGAAATGTAGCTCTCCTAGGAGATTGTGGCAGTAGCCAAGGAAAACAATAGCCATGGCCAAGGAGATCATGGAAAAAGACAAGCAGATATAGAGGCGACTCAGAGACATTATCCAGTAGCCAGTATTGTCCAGAGGCTGAAGGACACGCTCCTGCTAGACCAGCAAGCCATGCAGTCCCATAAACTGGGACCCAGCATCTCCTTCAGCCTTCTGGACAATACTGGCTACTGGGACCAGCAGCAACTCTTCCCCATAAAAGACACACGTCCCAAACACCATTCTCCTCTCAGGTCCATCATCTGCTCATCAAGAACACTGGCTCTTGGGAGCCAGCATTTTTGAGCCCTGCAACATACATGAAAATTTTGAGCAATAGCACTCAACCCCAGTATCCTTGCATACAAGAAGAGGCAGAGGGAATATGAGCCTGCAATTTTAAACCCTTCTTTCAACCTTGTTATTTTTGCAGATTGAATTGTTTGGTTTGCACTACTGTTTTATATAAAGGTTTTCTTTTTGACGGTTAGTCGGTTGACTGTTTTGGTAAATGTATTTTCAAATAAAAAGGTATTATTTATCCATCAGTTCAATTAAAACTTTATTTTTGGCTTTGTTACTGTTGTTTCTAATAAAAATCGCTAAAAATCCATTTTGGTCCACTATGACTCATCATGGCATGTAACACACAAAATCCTTTAAGTAAAGCTAAAATAATTCATTTGGTTTTACCAAAGTATATAGGCAATGTCCCCCTTCCATCACCATAAACAATACCGCACTACTCACAGCTATCCCAACCTGCCTCCATAGATTAGCAGCTGAATGTCCACACGTGTTCAACCTTGTGATTCAAAACATGAACAAAAGGCATCCCTGACAATATTCTACTGGGTGTTAGTGTTCTCTATGGGATGCCTGGCTGCTTGCTTGAACCACCAAGTAAGTCTCTGCACCTCCGCCTACCACCCATTGTTAAGGCTATCCTCCTTGGTCTCACAGATATTGTGCACAACACAACATGAAGCTATAATGATTGGGGCATTTTTTTCCCTGATACTTCCATATGATTCCATAAGCAGTGCCATCTGCCTTTCAAACGACCAAATGCACTCTCAACCTCCATTCTGTACCTACTCAGGCAATAGTTAAACTGTTTGTTCCTTCTTTCCAAATGGCCTGTGGATGGCTTCATTAACCAGGGAATCGGAGGAAAGGAGGGGTGTCCCTGAATAACTGTCCCAACCTCCATGCCATTAATGCAGAATGAATGTCTCCCACCATTCTACATAGGTTGGTAGGGCCCAGAAATGGTGCAGCTGACACTTGAACCGATCCTCTGGTTCCAACAGCTCAGCATCCTCATTTTGATGCAACAGTTTTGCAGTGTTGTCCTGTTGCTGGAGGAGCCAGTGATGCTGCCATTGAATATTCTCTTGGACCCACAGCATCTGCTCGGTGGCATGGCAGGGAAAAATCTAATGCTGAATGTGTCTGGGTTTGAATGCTGTAATACAGTCCAAGCAGCCTCTTTGTATTCACACTTGCCATGATAATGGAGCTGTGGATTTCTGGGTCCATGCTAGCAGACAGCAATTTGAAAATTGTGCTAGCCCACCCAAGAAGGAAGCCTGGGGTGCAGGCAGCAGAAATATGGGCTTTAAAAAAAATCTCATCTCCCTGGCTTCTGCTTTGAATCCCAGGATTTACAGCAAGAACAGTCTAATGATGCATGCTGCTCAACCATGAAATAAAGGATCTAAGGATACCTGCCAAGAACTCTACTCCCTCAGCTCACAGTAAACCACTGCTCTATGTTCACACAATGCGAATTGAAAATGGAACAGGCATCCTGTGCGCACACTATTGATGTGACTTGTGTGCTGTGAGTTACCAAACCAAAGCCTACCGAGGTCACACTTTACAGAGTTTTGGGATAACCTATGGATGTTAATCTCACTTTAACTGGCAATTTCCTTGATACTTAGAGATTACAGGTTTAAAGGAAATTCACTTGAAAAAAAGCCTTTAACTTTACATTACTTTGTGTGAATTTCCATGTTTTAGAAAAAGTGTAAAAGTGGAAAGTAATTCTGGGAAGGGGAATGTAAAGGAGATGGGTACAGTAGAGCTGCTGGTTGAAAAAAAACATGCTGGAGGCAGGGAAGACAGCAAAGCTGTTATGTGGTGGGTGGCTTGGAGGATCACAGGGTAAGCAGAGACACTGGTGGCTAATGGAGAAGAGGATACGGGTAGTCTTAGGTGGGAGGACATAGGATATACCGGACCAGCCAAAAGCATGGGTTGTTAGGGCAACAGCATGGAGGTGGAGTAAGGATTAGTCAGTATAAAGGAGGCAAGAGGCAATGGAGGATGGTGTCCTGAAAAACATACAAAGTGCATGGGACAGCTTGGGGTGGGAGTGAGAAATGGAGTAGACAAGACTTGGTAGATGGATGCAAATTGGGAAGCAAGTTTCTCCTGGGGAAGCATACTCTGGGAAGATAGAGATTGTGCTGAAATGGGGGGGGAACACGGTTTGAGGAGCATAGAGTTGTTGGGAGGCAGTGAGTTGGTGGGAGATGTGGAGAGGCTATACTAGAGGCAACAAAGAAACCTTAAAAGCATTAAGTGATATACGTTAACTAAGAAGTGTGCTATAGTGCATCGGCTGAAGGGAAAATTAACAATAATATTGAGCTACTTCAACATGTGTTGTAAATTGCTGGAGTATAATACAATTTAACGTTTCAAAGGCTTTAGCCAAAATACAAAGATGACCGCCACAAGGAGTCATTTGTTTCAGCTGTTCAGGCTATAAATCATGTTAGTTTAGTGAAGAATTATTGAAGCATTCTATAGTACAGTACATACATGGCTACAATAAACTTACATTTTTGAACAGCTGTTCTGCAAGCTCTCTGACGTGCTTCATCATTTTTGGTGGATTACCTTCCTCAGCTTTAATTCTTTCCACTTCAAAAGCTACCAACTTAAAAAAAGTATCAAAATGTTTAAAAATCAACTTAAAATAACTTTGCTAATATAGAAAATACATAATATTCATCTTAAACTGAAATGTGCACAGAAAATTGGACACTGAAAAATCTCTTATGCTTCTGGGAAGCAGTGTACCATTTCCTAGGTGAATTACCAGGAATATTCACTTTCCTCTGAAGCGTTAGGCATAGGGCAAATCACAGCTCCAGAGGCAAGATACCAGACTTGATGGAGCTTAAGATCACTCCGGTGCAGTAAACCTGTGTTCCTGTAATATTCATTTAACATCTATAATGCAGCATGCTGTGTTTCTGAACCTTCCACATAAAAGTAATACAGAGCTATATCAGTATTGTATAAAACATTCAAGTTTAAACCGCACTGCAAGTTTGGATGAAAAATTTACTGTGTCTGGTCTTTTTAGACAAGAATTTAAAAACTGCAGCTCTAGCAGTGGCAATATTGATGATTCCATTGTACTTTGTACAAGAGAAGATGTTTGCCTCAGTTTCCTTTGCCAAGTGTGTATTTAATTTATTAACACTTGTCAAAAAATTTACTTCTGCAAGATATTTCTAAAAATATAATTAAATTATTCAAAATAATTCTGTCCTAGCAGGTATGATCAGTATACTGAGTTCCAAATGGGACCATAAAAAGATTAGGCCACAATCCTACAATGACTTACACACATGGTTAACTTTAAGTAGGTGATTGTCCCAATAACTTCATGTGTGTAAAGTTATGAATGTGTATCCTCATTAAAGCATCAGGGCTTAAAAGATCATATGTTGCTTGATAATTTATAAAATATGTTTGTAGTAATTATATTTATTTGAATATATTAAGATTCAGAAGTTTATCAATTACCATTTTTCTACATACAGAAGCATCTCATCTATATTTTAACTGTCTTTTGAATATAACATATCATACAAAACAGAATTTTTACCTCATCAAAGAGATCACAGGATCTGTAGGGAGGACCTCTCTCAGACACAAAACCAGCAAATGACATTCCATTGAGAATTTTGGTGAGAAAGTCATTCTCAATCAAGCCTCGCTGGCCCAAAAAGGCCGCCTGCAGTGAATGTAAAGAGGGATTGGTCACTGTATAATTGAAAAATTATGGAAACAAACAGAACATTTAATCAACTCCAGGTATATTAATAGCTTAAACCTTCTTCTGCTTATAATAAGTGCAAAGTGTTTTAAGAGACAATAGCTATAAACGATCTTTTTTTAATAAAATAAAAGGTATTGGAACTGGAACATTCCCCCTTCTCGCTCAGACACACTTTTAAAAATCATTCAAAAATCTGTTTTCTTTGAGCAATAAAACTTCTGGGAGGCAAAATACAAAATAATTCTAGTACTATTAAGCTGATTCTTTTAACTATAGGTAAACATTTCTTGAAATCCATGAATTACTTCCAAAATTGTATTAGTTTTAACTTTAAATATTAACATGTGGTCCTTGCTACAGATTTCATCTTAGACAAATCTGTTTGGAAATGCAACAGTAAATGGGCCTGTTAAGCTGTACTGTACAGTACCACCTCAGTAATATCAGAATGATATGATTTTACTATATCATATATAAAGAAACTTTTGTGTCAGACACAAAATTAAATTCCAAGATTGTATAGTTGAAGTTTGTTCAGAAAGCAACTATATGAGACTGATATGAATTCAAATCATATGTGAAATATTCATAGGGTGACCAGATGTCCCGATTTTATAGGGTCAGTCTCGATTTAATAGGGTCAGTCCTGATTTTTGGGTCTTTTTCTTATATAGGCTCCTATTACTCCCCACCTCTGTCCCGATCTTTCACATTTGCTGTCTGGTTACCCTAAATATTCACTAAATACAAACAACCTTTTTTTCCTCTTTTACCTTGTGAAAATGTATAACTGGTTCAGCATGAATTCTGATCAGCTGAAGGCATGACCTGTATCCTTGGAAAAGTTGTGCAAACAATCTCAGGAAAATTGCTCGTACTTCTTTATCCTGTAAATGATGATCAAATATGGTGTAAACAACTTTGCTTCTATAACTTCCTCCTCCCTCCCTACCCCCTCGCAAGTATAAAACTATGTCACAAACATTTGTAAAACAGAATAATCAGTTTTCTCAGACAATATCCAAAACAGAACAGCAGTGTAGCAGCGAGAGCAATTTAATTTGAGTATTATGCTCATCATTACCAATCCCTTTTGTCACTTCAGATTACTACATTTTACCTCAGCTAAAACCAGACTCTCAGTACAATCACTCTTCTTGCAGCCAACCTGCAGGCTGCTCTGGGACTTCAATTTTACAATAAGTCTCAAATGCACTTTAAAATATGACCTTTGATTTGAAAAATACAAGCACAAATGAATTCCAGGCCACAGTGAATCAAATTAAGATATGACATCAAGATTTAATCTTTCAATAGATTGTTTTGGAAGCAGACTTTTATGTTTCACTAAAGATTCTATAAAGAACAACTATTTGTTAGATGACGGCCCTGAATTTCATTAAGAATGTGCTCAGTGTTGTTCTCTCCTCTTACAAATTAATTTAGAATTCAATAAAAGCTACTCTTATTGGCAGATACACTATTTATTTCAGGGCCAGACTGCTCACCACAGTTAGCACCAAATAGTTTATAGTAACTTGTATAAATTATAGAAGTCATATACACAGGTGTCCACCACAAAACATTTATCAGTCTGTTTCTCTTATGTTAGACAAAAATTATACAGGATTGAAAGCATCAATATTGTAATATGCACTACACCAATTTAAGACTACCCACAGAGGGTGAAATCCTGGCTTCAATGTTCAATGGAGCCAGGATTTCATCTCGACTTCAGGACTGAAAAATGAATCTTTTAAGGTGAAGCAAGAAATATAGAAAACCAGGAAAAATACTGAGTGAAGTTATGCTATTCTTATCTTTACTAAAGATTTCCATTTTATGTCTTAGATAGCATTACATACTCCTCGCCCCAAGTTTATGTTCACCAGAGCCCAATGCAACACTAAAAAGCTAGAATTCTCTTTGTAGTGTATAAATATACCATGTGTATGCAAAAACATAAAATATACTCCTAGTTTCCCTTTTTATTATAAAATTAATGAGTCCCATCTCTATTTCTCATACAGTCAGACCATTGCTGTAGCTGCTAGATAACCTACAGCATCTTTTTTTTTTTAGACACAGAATGGCTTTCTTAAAGAGTTGAGCTGACAATGTTTTCCAAACAAAATTATCTTTTATTCTCTCTTCTAATCAGGTTTTTATCTTGCAGTAATGGGTTCCAGAGATGGTGGTATCAAATTTCATAAGTGAATGCAAGTATGTTGATTTCCAGGTTTATTCCACCTTTTTGAGTCCGTCACTAGAAGCTTGCATTCTGGAGCACTCTCAATCTCTTACTTCTCTCTTCTCCTCCTCTATATTTAGTTCTCATTCACTTCCAACAGCACTGATTCTTCCTCTTCTTTCTTTGTTGTTTTTTATTTGTGAACTACTGGTCTTAGGAAATCTTAGTGATGCATAGTAATTTCTGGCTTGTCTCTCTCTCTCACTGGTTTAACACAGTCTCCAGCTCAAGCTTCCAAACCTGTGGTGAGTAGTTTATGGGTCTGTACAGTGCCCTCTCATGAACACCTTTCCCCCCACCACCTTATATTCTGTGGAATTTAAGTTTTCATTAAAAAAATTTCTAGTCTACAAAGTAACTACGTAACTGACAACTAGCCAGTCTTTGCAGGTTTAACAAATTTCAAGTAGGGGGAAAAATACTCTACCTCCCAAACCTATGTTTAAAGAGACCTAGTCTAGTTCAATAATAGTAATAATAATACTTTGCACTTCTATAGTACCCTCTACCTGGGCAATATTGATTTAGATCATTTCTCTTTTAACATACCAAAATAATGGAAAATAATAAATCTGTAGATTTCTTTTTAACTTCTTCTTCATATCATTTCTGTTCAAGAGAAAGAAGTGAATATTTATAGTATTTCCTAGCTAAAGAACTTTTTCCTCCTCATATATATTGTAGAAGAATAGAGAAAAGTAACTACAGAAATCTAGCTTCTTAAAAGAAGCTTATTCTAAAAACTTAATATTTTTCTATTTATTACAAAGTCAGAAATAATATGTCTTACCAGCATTTTTGAGTGTGATAAACCTGTTCGTGGTGGAGGGAATGCATAATCTGCCGTTTCCAAATCGGGGTGTAAAACCTATGACATTTTTTAATTAATGAAAATAATTGTTAAAACGTGAATACAAATTGAACTGTTAACTTTTTTCCTGGTCCTATTTAATTGTTGTTAATACTCATTGCACTGTAAATACTTTAAAAATGATGGAATACGGGGAGTATTTGCAATAGATTTTAGTTGGTGTTGAAAGCCAGGGTTGTCATCTTAAATGTCATAAGCAGCATTGTTAAAGTTTGTGCCATCACTATTATTTCTAATTGGTTTTGATTTGCAACTCCTGTATTGCAGAGGCTTATAACTGCAAAACATAAATATCTCTGGGATGAAATTTTTGCAAAAATTCTAAATCCGGAAAGGAATTTTTTGGAGTATAATGTAGCAAGAAAAATGTTTTAGGTTTTTTGCTTATTTTGCCTTTTTGATTTTTCTGTTCCTTTGTGCATAGCATTTTCTTTCGTAGAATTCAATACGAATTTTATATAAACACTTGCTGGTAGGGCCAGAACAGAACTGAAGGTACACTCATTTAAATTACTTTTGCACTTCTGTATCCAGAAAATGGATTACATTTTCAGTGAGATTTGTCAGGTCATTAGTCAATAAAGAAATTATTTTTATTAGTAACAACAACAGTTACGTGCACTCCTAGAACACCTTTTGTCCAACCATCTCAAAGCATTTAGTAAATATTAAACAAGATTCCAAAGCCCTTGTGAAGTAGGTACGAATTATTATCCTGATTTTACATTTGTGTTAGCTGATGCAGAGAAGGTTAAGATATCTGCCTAAAGTCACACAGGGCGTCAGTGGCAGTCAAGAAAATAACTCAATTCTTCTGTAACTATATCTTATGGTATATGCAAAACATAAATTGACTCTCTATTGCAGAGTATAGTCTAGATTTTCAAATGTGACTAGTGATTTTGGGTGCTCAAACTGACACACATTAAAGGGGCGTGATTTTCATACAAAGCTGAGCACCTGCTCTCTGGAAATCAGGCTCTTCCAAGGTGTTTTGAGTTAAGAGCCCATAACTAATGATATTGGATGCTTTGGTTATTTGAAAATCTTGGCCTATTTACTTACTCTGTTTAAAAGTACTGATAATGAAGCTGTAACTTAGCCCTGGTAACTCCTCAGTTTTAATTCTGGTGCTAAGCCACTACATTAAAATAAAATCTATTGTCACACACACACACACAATCTGTAACTCCATCCAATTTTCTTTCATTTGTTTTCCTTTCTTCTTAGGGTTAAAACTTTTGCCTGAACCACACAGCAAAGCATGCACATGAAATGACCATGGACGAGCTCCAGTGTGGTCAACCCTATAAAAGAGAAGAGGAAGGAAAGATGGACGGAATAAGGAAAGAAAAGTGAAATAACCCAACCATTATAAAAGCTGTGTCGGGAAATCAGTCACCATGAGGTTGGCCCTATTGGTCAGACCAAAAATGTTGGAAACAGCATTTTTCAGTTTTTGATAATGCTGGATAAAGACAGTTCCTTTGATGACAGGAAGCTTGTGGTGATTCCTCAATGTGGAATGATAATCAAGCATAAAAAAATATTTACTGCAAAACTCAGCTCTTCTTTTACAATTCTATTGCCAGGCATCACGGTAATTTAAAATTAAAATGGATTCTTGGAATTGTGCATTCAACTGAAAAGCCACCAAGGTAAATCATAATAAAGCAGCTGAATATTCAGTAATAATTGTTAAAGCAAAATATTAAAACAGATGTATTTCCAAATGTACTATTAGGGAGAAAAAGGTCACTTTCCCCTTCTCAGATGTTAAGAAGACACAACATGCCATAAATGAATGAAGTCTTAGGATATGTGATAAGTGGAATTAGTTATAAATCAAGAAAGATAATAGTTCTTTTAAAAAGAGTTGTTAACAGAGTACTGTGTGCAATTCTAGGCATAGAAAGGTGAAAGGCATTTTTCTAAAAAGAGCAGAGGGAAGCAAAGAGTTCCTTATGAGGAAAGGCTTAATGAAGTGAACATGCTGGGTTCAACTTAACCCTGGCATAAGCTTCAATGGCTTCAACAGAGTTGAGCCCAATTACACCAAGGTAGGTTTGTATGTAAATAAATTAGGGAAAATCAATCTAAATGGAGCTACTATAAGTGGGATCATAACTGGTTGAAAAACCATTCCCAGAGAGTAGTTATCAGTGGTTCACAGTCATGCTGGAAGAGCATAACAAGTGGAGTCCCGCAGGGATCAGTTCTGGGTCCGGTTCTGTTCAATATCTTCATCAATGATTTAGATAATGGCATAGAGCAGTGGAGGGCAACCTGTGGCTCGTCAGGGTAATCCACTGGCAGGCTGCCAGACAGTTTGTTTACATTTGCACGGCAGCCCGCAGCTCCCAGTGGCCGCGGTTCATCGTTCCCGGCCAATGGGAGCTGTGGGAAGCAGCGCAGGACGGAGGGACGTGCTGGCCGTAGCTTCCCACAGCTCCCATTGGCCGGGAATGGTGAACTGCGGCCACTGGGAGTTGCGGACGGCCGTGCAAATGTAAACAACCTGTCTGGCAGCCCGCCAGCGGATTACCCTGAGAGGCTGCATGCAGCCAGTGGGCCGCAGGTTGCCCCCCACTGGCATAGAGCATACACTTACAAAGTTTGTGGATGATACCAAGCTGGGAGGGGTTGCAAGTGCTTTGGAGGATAGGATTATAATTCTAAATGATTTGGACAAACTGGAGAATGGTCGGAAGTAAACAGGATGAAATTCAATAAGGAGAAATGCAAAGTACTCCATTTAGGAAGGAACAATCAGTTGCACACATACAAAATTGGAAATGACTGCCTAGGAAGGAGTATTGCAGAAAGGGATCAGGAGTCATAGTGGACCACAAACTAAATATGAGTCAACAGTGTAAAACTGTTGCAAAAAAAAGCGAACATCATTCTGGGATGTATTAGTAGGCGTGTTGTAAGCCAGACACGAGAATTGTAAGCAAGACACTCTACTCCGCACTGATTAGGCTTCAACTGGAGTATTGTATCCAGTTCTGGGCGCCACATTTCAGGAAAGATGTGGACAACTTGAAGACAGTCCAGAGAAGAGCAGCAAAAATTATTTAAAGGTCTAGAAAACATGACCTCTGAGGGAAGATTGAAAAAATTGGGTTTGTTTAGTCTGGAAAAGAGAAGACTGAGGGGGACATGACTACAGTTTTCAAGTACATAAATGGTTGTTACAAGGAGGAGGGAGAAAAATTGTTTTCCTTAACTTCTGAGGATAGGACGAGAAGCAATGGGCTTAAATTGCAGCAAGGGAGGTTTAGTTGGACATTGGAAAAACTTCCTAATTGTCAGGGTGGTTAAGCACTGGAATAAATTGCCCAGGGAGGTTGTGGAATGTCCATCATTGGAGATTTTTAAGAGCAGGTTAGACAAACACCTGTCAGGGATGGTCTAGATAATAATTGTCCTGCCATGAGTGCAGGGGACTGGCCTAGATCACCTCTGAATGCCCCTTCCAGTCCTATGATTCTAAATCTGAGATGATGTTTAAGAGAAAAAATATATAAACCTCCAATATCATATCTGGGTATACCTGCATATAACAAAAATTGCTTGCCAAAGAGTAGACTGATGGGCCTTTAGGGCCCAGTGTAATCTCCATCTTTTAAATTCTAAGTATTTATGGTATTCACATACAATGCATTTAGGAGTTAATTCATCTTGCTTTTAAATCTTCATAAGTCATTTTCAAAATGTTTCATAATATTCAGAGATTTTATTTCTTCTTTTTACATTTTTAAAAAGATCTGGACAAGCTGATCAGGAAATGAGACGTACTAAAGAAAGAGCTGTTTGAGTTTGATGTAGCAGTGGCTCTGGGAGCTGAGATAGATGAATACATTCAGGAATTTTAATTGTGCCTCCATCCAGGTCTGCTATAATTACATCCAACTGAAAAAGAAAAACAAATATTTTATATATAGTATGTTCTCTGATGCACACAGTTAAAACACCAAATGGACATTTCAGATTTTACATATGATTTAACCTAAAATGTGTGAAGATAATATTACTTCACAATTCTATAGTGCCCTTAATGAAGAAGCTTGAGCACAAATAATATTAATGAATGTAACCTCAAAACACCTATGTGACTCAAAGAGAGAGAGGCCAAACTTTCAAGAGTGGCCTCGAGTTCTGGGTGCCTCAGTTTTAGGGTCTCCAACTTGAGATTGCTCAGCACTTCTGAAATTCAGTCATAAGCTATCACAACTCCAAAAAATTAAAGGATACCTTGGCAAATGTTGGTCTAATTGAATTGCTCAAGGTCACAACAGAAGTCTGAAGCAGAGTTGGAAATATATCGCTGTCTTGACTTTACACCCTGCATCTTAATCGCAAAATCATTCTTCTGAGTTTTTCCTTCCCTCACCCTATTTCCTTCTGACAGGTTATATTGGTATTTGTAGAAGAATTTACAACAGGTTCAATTAATTGGTGTGTGAGGTTTTTTTGTTGTTTTTGCCCATTACTGATTGTCCTGCTTTATCTACTGGTACTTTTATTCCTGGGGGAATTCTGTGTCACTGTGTGTGTGCGGAATCCATGGCCCCCGCAGATTTCTTTGCTTCCCCACAGAAAAATGGCTTCTGAAGGGGACGCAAAGGGAAGCTGCAAAAGCGGTCATGCACCCCTGCCTGCACTGTTTGGGCACCTGGTGCAGCCAGTAGAGACATAAATCACCGCCGGGACGGGAGGGCTGGGCAATCATGTGTTTGAGACAGAGAGATACTCTGTCCCCTCTCAATCGCTATTGCGGCATGCTCAGGGTGAAAGGGCAGGGCTTTGGGGTGTTTCTGGGGAGGTAGGAGTGTCTCCTCAGGCAGAGCAGAATATAGCAGCTTGCCTGTTTAGTGAATTGTTCCCATTGTTATTAGTGAATTCCCCCAGGAGTATAAAACAGGTCTAAAAATTTTAAGGCTCCTTGCATTGTCAAAGTGGTGTAATGGAGTCTTATTGTACAGGACAGTGTGTCCTTATAAATGCTTATGGTGCTTTAGTGATTAGAATTGGTCTAAATTTTTGGACTGAAAAAATTTCCTATCAAAATGTGCTTCATGAACTGTTTGTTACTGACCTTTCTGGAGATGGTCAGTAGCCAATATAAATTGTGAGTTTGAGTCCCCAGCCCTCGCTTACTTTTCAGTTGCCTATGATGTAACACGGAGTATATGGCTGCATATATTTGTTGACTAATAACTAGCAGTAAAGGGTCAATACTAGTTACATTACCATTACAGAGGGGGTTTGGGGGATTTCCTCCAGTGCTCCCCATTCCCTTTCTTTATCCATTGTATCGTAGTTAAAAATAATTGAAACCAGAGCGATTATATTTATTTTTTAACAAATAAATATGCAGAATTTTAACATATTGTGTGCAAAATTTTTAATTTTTTGGCGCAGAATTCCCCCCAGGAGTATACTTTGTATGGCTATGAATAGCTTAAACTATAATGCTTGAAGCACAAAAAATTCTCTACACAAATATCATATTTGACACCATGACTGTACATATTCTTTTTAGGCATACTTACAAGCTCATGAATGTCAGCACAAAAGATGGAATGTACACCAATAATGAAAGGCGTTGGTGAACTGAGAACTTCTAGCAGCTGTGCAGGGAGAATTGGAATATAGGGATAACTGTGAAGAGAATTAATAAAAAGTTATGCTTTTTGTCTGCCCCATTACATGATGTCTTTCTTTACCTTCCTGCCACCTATTATAACTACTTCATAATTTGTCAATTAAAATTCTGGGGCATTCAGTACATCAACTATGAAGTACCATACTCAAAGTTATAAGGACATTCTGGCATGAAAATATAAAGAAGTCCATTATCACAAGGGGCTTGTAATTTCTTTATAAAAATCTATCACAAATAGATAAACTGTTTTTGAATATGCACGTAAACTAAGAAGAAAAGACAAAAAAGAATATTCATAGTAATCTATCTAGGCTCTTATATGGTGCCCATTAATGTGATAAATGTGCACAAAGAGATTATTATTGCACTAGAGACATTAGATCTGTTATGGAGTGCACACTAAGTTTTAAAAACATAGTACTTTTGAAGTAAAGCATGCAGTACAATATATAATGCTAATTACTGCTTTTGTACAGTGTCACATAATAATGAAATTCCCAAATGTAGAGTTTAGTGATGCAGACAATGTTTATTTAGGACTAAACTGAGAACACTGTACTCATGTTACTTGTGATCTGAGTCATATTTAAACATGATCTAAATTTAAAAAAATTGTAACATCACTGACACATGGCTCTCCAAGGTTGATTTTCACATGGGAAATTTCACAGATATTTTAACATTAAGGAACAATATTTCAAAATTCACTTTCAATCTGTTACGAAGTTTTTCTATTGTTGTTTAAGATACAAACCTGTCTTTGAACTATTTTGAACAAATACAAGAACTCTGCATACTCAATGTTAGAAGTATCTTTTGCAGACACTTGCGTTACAATTACACCTCTTTCATTTGTGCAACTAAGAATATATCTACACTGCAATTGGAGGTGGGTCTGCAGCTCAGGTAGGCATACTCGCACTACCATTGAACTACCTAACCTACCTAAAAATAACAGTGAAGACATGGTGGCACAGACCCCAGGACGGGCTAGCAATGTAAATACATTATTGAGGGTTCCCAGTGGGCTTGTTCAGCCTGCACTGCTGCATCTTCACTGCTACTTTTAGCCATGCTAGGTAGATTACAGCTAGCACAGATATGCTTACCCCAGCTGTGATGGCACCTCTGACTGTTGCCCTCAGATGCTGATACACTACCTTTTGACCTAAAAAACTGGGTTCAAATGTGGCTTTTTTCACAAGGAATTAATTTATTGATTGCAGTGTAGTCCATAGTGGACATCTGTACACCTTACAAAACTATCGCACAAACTGGCACAAGTGTCAGCCTCTGTTCGTGGACCATGACTGCATTAGAAAAAGAGATTTATAATCAGGTAGTATTGCTGTCAAGGTGTCTACACCGTATTTTTGTTAAATTACATACAATTTACATTGAAATGGATTAAATGAGAGTCTGATCGATGAAGTACACAAACCGTAAGACCAAATGTCTGATCCTGAAAGCCTTTCCTTATGTGGGTAATCCTTATTCATGAAAACAGTTCATTAAGTTCAATGGTACACCTTGCATGAGTAAAGATAACTTGTATAAATACAGGTTTTCAACATCAAGTCCAAAGTGTCAAAGTTGTCTAACAAAACTCACCTATATTTGAGAGGAAACATTAAAGACTCCAGTGCTCTACAGGCATCACTGAGCCTCTGAAAACTTGCAGAGTGAAAGAGAACCTTGTTTTCTGTAAGGACCGCACAGAACAAGCTCAGCACATTTTGGATTCCTTTAAAAAAAAAAAGTGTGCTTTACAAATGATAAACCCATAACCAAAACAGAACAAAGAATGAAAATGAAAAATTGTTAAGAATTCTTGGAGTCACTGGAGGAAAATTTGTAATAAGTATGCAAATGCCTTATCCTGTGATTTTTCTGCCTTTTCTTTGACTGTCAGTTTTGTTTTCTATTTTTCAAGTTGGTATAACACCCAGTGAATAATTTCCAGTAGTTCAAATATTTTCTATTACACCTCCTTTTCTATCCCATTTCCAAGGATTTTCTCTTCTGAAAACAATCCTAACAGTGCTTAACAATGACCGCAATGGTAGTATGCAAAGGTAAACATGACTCTAGAGCCCATTGTTGGTGGCTGATCCAAGCTCAACTTCTGAACCTTTATGTACTATCTCTGTGAGTATTGCTGATCATGGACAAAGAGCTCATGAGGTTTGTCTAGGAAACACATTAATACTTTTATCTGTAAAAGTGTTTTCTGTGACTCATTAGCTAAACAAAGGCCTGTAAGGCCTAGACACTATATTTGTGATTGGAAGGAGTTAAAGAGGAGCTGACTGGCTAAACAAGCCCTGCAAGATTGAGGACAAGACACATGAAGCCGATTAAACTGGCTTTGGTAAGATGGTATAAAGGATAACCTGTTGCATAGGTTACAAAGTAATGTACTCCTGGGGAAGACCAAAAAAATGCATTTCCTTTATACAAAAAGAGTCCCATCCTTTTAAATAGATGTGTCTTTGAGATATGCTAGAAATAATATCAGAGGGGTAGCCGTGTTAGTCTGAATCTGTAAAAAGCAACAGAGGGTCCTGTGGCACCTTTAAGACTAACAGAAGTATTGGGAGCATAAGCTTTCGTGGGTAAGAACCTCACTTCTTTAGATGCAAGTCTTGCAT